GCGACCAAAACTTTGAATCTTAGGGTTGGTAGGTGGATATATGTTGAAACATAGTCCTTGTACTTTCAGTTATTGATGTTGCTTGCCAGCCATAGTTAAAAAAATTTCTTTTCAGTTTAAATTATGCATTATGCATTATGGAAAAGGGTAGGTTATTCCTTTACTGGATATGTTTAGAATTTGCTTTTGATGGTTTACACTGTGGATCGTTGACGGATTGTAGTTGGCCGTGTATAATGCCTTACATATTGAGGTAAAACGTATCACTTGACATTTTACTTTTGCAAATTTAGGTTGTAATATTTAGTGCTATCAAATATTTAGGTCATCATCTGCTGTGGTTAGTTATGAAGTTGGGTTTGTGCATATACGCATACTCGTTCTTGATTAATCTGATAACAGAAATTTGTGACTCGTCGTGTTTTGTGCCTTATAGGGAGATGATTTGCTGCTAATGACCATTTCAAAATTATTAATGCATCTTGGTTATTGGTGAATTTTTTCGTAAGGATGATAGAATAGAGTATTGGCTCTAAAAGTTTAATTGCAATTTAGTACTTGACCTTTTAGGAGGAGTTATTATGTATGTAATTAAATTTGAGGGCACAAAAATAGAATCAAATAAACTTGTGAGACAAATTTAAGGCTTATTTAAATCGATCATCAACCCTATCGACTCAACTTATTCTTTACCCGATTAAGAGAGAATTAAGAGTGAAATTTCTAATAAATATCTTGGGCACATATTAGTATGCATAAATTATGCGTGCCTTATCATGTGGTCGCATAATATCACATTCATTACGTCCTTGATCACGAAGTTTTCTTTCCCAACGAATTAGGAATATGAGAATAAATGGTCTAGCCAAACACTCTGAAATGCCCAATAAATGGTCGTTTACTACTCTAAATTTCTTCACGTTGTTCTAAGAACACTTCTTGTATAGCACCTACTCGATTAAGAGAGAAATTTCTAATGAATATCTTGGGTACATGTTAGTATGCATAAATTATATGCACCTTATCATGTGGATGTATAATACTCCCTCCATCCCAATTATTTAATCATGTTTGGAGAATCCAACTTTTTAAGAATAGTAGTTTAATTTTGATGTTTGTGCTTCTCTTTCTAATTTTACCCCCAAAATTTAAATTTGAATGGTAATATACATATGATTAGAAAGAAAAATTATGTTGAAAAGAATGACTAAAAGGTATTTTGACTTTTCCAACATGATAAATATTTTGAAATATGTCAAAATCGAAAGTATGATACTTTTAATGGAACGGAAGGAGTATCAAATTCATGACATCCTTGATCATGAAGTTTCTTTCTCAACGAGTTAGGAATATGAGAATTAGTGGTCCAGCAAAAAATGATGTAATTTTATAAGATTTAGGGTGGGCAAGTACGATGTATTTCAAATACTTCTCAAATTTTCTTGGATCGTTTTGTGATTTTACCATAGTTGAGAGTGAGTCAGCCACATGGCGTGAATTTGGTTCTAAGCAGTAGTCTCGGGTGTCGTATTTATTTCTGATGTGGCCGCAGCCCATGTTTTTTGAGAGTAACAGTAGAAGACATTGATTGATTGAGCTTTGCAACTTTATATCAATTTTTCTTGAGTAACAGCCAATTAACATTTGCAACTTTATATCAATTTCTCTTGAGCTTTCCTGTGGATATTGATTGATTTGATCCAGAAGGCACACTTCGGCTAAGAAACCGAGAGATCCATAAAGGATATTCAACACAAAGAAACGTTTTAGATGAAAAGTTCACGTCACAAATTCAGTTTTCTGGGCTGTCCGCATTTTGAGGCATTTGACAGTAATCTTTCAGTTGTCAAATTACTTTGACTTTAAAGTAACTAGTCGGCTTTTGTGAACTTTCCAGATGAATAATTAGGAGACAATGAATCACAGAGTACTAAGGTTGACACAGACTTTGACACGTCCCTGTCCATTTGGTCGTAAATTTGATAAGGTGCTTCTCAAATTCTACATAACTCCTGTTGAGAGAAAAGATAAGGCACGTAGCCATAAGAGTTATCAAAACGGAGGTGACATACTCCCTCCCTTTTTTTATAACTGACGTTTAAGGTTTTGCACATCAATTAAGAAAAGTTTTTCATTGTTTAAATCTATACACTACTTTCCTTTCGTACCCTCATTAATTGTCCAATTCACTCATGTTTTCTCTCACTAGAGTATTAAATGGTGCTGTTTTCCTAGGCCAAAAGCAAAGAGAGAAGTAATAATTATTAGGAGTAGTAATTAAGAGCCCTGTATTGGTAAAGAGAGATAAAAGGGTAAAATTGTGAAAAAATAATTAATACTACATGGGGATAATACAACGACAGATAAAAGTACTTAAAAGCAAATTTTTTAAACGTCAGTTATAAAAAAAAGGAGGGAGTAATTAAGAATTTATATATATCCATAGGTACAAATAGATGAGTCATAAATGAGTGCAGTCATTAATGAGACTTTTGGAAGAGAGGACACGGATAAAGGAAAAAAAATAATGAAAAAGTAAAGAAAAAGAAAATAATGGTAAATATGCATGTTTAATTGTATGACCCATTTTAAACTTAAAATTTAGTGCATATCCAAACCCATTTATTTGTGGGTAAATTTGGATGAGTTAAAATAACTGGATTTATATTGACTGCTATAGCCATGAATAATATATTCCAGAAGCGAAAATTTTTTTCTATAATTTATAAATTTCCTAATTATGAAGAATGTAATTTTTGCTACCCATCATAATATTCTTAAATGTAATAAAACAGACAAATAAGAAATTGAAAAAGTAGATTATACCATATAATGTTCTGTATGTATCCATACTACATTAAAATTCTGTCACCATTCACAGTGCCATTTATTACTTTAGATAACAATAATCATTTCATTGAATTAAAAGACTGCACAATGTACTGGATGGCCATATAGCAACCATTCGAGAAGACATTGAGTACCTAGCGAAAAGTTTTGAACATTGCACAGTTTCTTTTGTACCTAGATCAGCCAATGTAGAAAGTCATAGACTAGCAAAATTTGCAACAAGGCTAGTTAATGACATTGATTGGGAAAACAACTTCCCAACTTGGCTAGTAGAGGCAGCCGACAATGACTGGAGGGCTGAGTCTTTCTTTTGTAATTAAGCCCTTGTAGTATCAAGTGAATATATATATATAAAATGATATCTAACGTTTGTTGAAAAAAAAAATTAAAAGACTGCACTAGTAGTACCAAATACAAATAAATGTAGCGAATATCATCTCTGTCTTGTATCCTTGAATCACCAAATCCTCATCTTTAGGCTTTAGCTTCAATTAAACTACCTTTGTGACTCACTAGAGGCATGTCTAATGTAATTTGACCTGCAGATGGAAGCCTGCCAAAATACACCACCACGCATGATTACTGCATCGGAAAAGGAAGGAAACAGATAATAATGATTAAAAGAACGCAAGGAAACATGTTTAAGAAGAAATGAATTCGGACTAGTAACTATAGCATAGCTAATAAAATATGGGATGGGTATAGATATCATACGCAGATATATTATACGATTTTTTTTTTCACGAGTACAGTTAAAAGTTTAGTGTGAAAATATGTACTTCGCAAAATTATACATATAAATCCGTACGTGAATAGTATGAACATATTTAAAAGTTGCAGAACTAAATTATGAATAAATTTACTATACTTTTAACTACATTTCTACCAATTTTAAACTTATTTTTGTCTATCAAACCCAAAGAAGCAATAATCAATAGAAATTAATTTCTACAGACAAAGAAATTATCCTTGCAGTTGTTTGGTGCCATCGTCAATTTGGAAATTTTAGTTTCTTTCTACTTTTTTTTTATGTATAAATGAATCCACGTGGTTTGTTCAAATCTTTTCTTCGAAAATTTTAATTTTTTGGTAAGTAGGCATATTTGGTCCTTAATATTTGGGGGTTGAATAAAATTTGACAGCGACACTTTGATCAAAATATATGTACCCTAAGACATTGATTTTGATTAAATTAATCCTGAATATTTGGATCTTAACATATGTAAAGTATGTAGTTCTGGCCAAATTAGCCTCTAATATTGCATAATATATTAATAAAATTTATTAATATGGCATACAAAAAAGCCATGAGATTATAAAAACTATAGAAAAAATATAAAACAAATTTAAAGCATTCAGTTGTAACTACAAAAAGACTAGATGACTAATCATACCAAGTAATAACAACATAAATCACATGTTGCACATGTGCTCCATCTATTTATTTTGCATTTCTTTCATAAAATAATTTAAAAAGCAATTTAATTTTACATGTTTGTTCAAAATTTTTTGTACTATTTTTAGGGAGGAGATGATCTAGTTATGAAGCACTTATTTCACGTGTTGTAAAATTTATTGCGTTTTATTTGTAAAGCTGAAAAATATATTATTTAATGATCTACAAACATTTACATGAGAGGGCCGCATCTCGCGAAATTCATAAAAAAATTAGAGAAAGTTACAAATGATGTGGACAGTCGTAGAAGTATATTACAAAACGATTTGTTTTCTTATTCATGTGGTATCTTTTTTTTTTTTTTTTTTTATGTTGACCATTAATTTTAACAAAATTTAACAGTGACACTTAACCTAAATTCTGAGAGAGTTGTTTATAAGCCGTAGGGGAGATATGTAATAAAGTACTAAGCCATAGGGGAGATATGTAATAAAGTAACAAACGACAGAAGGATTAAAGGTATTTATCCTTTTTTTTATTATTGATTTTTGGTTCTCACTACTACTTTTATCCTCAAGCATTCCTTTTTAGAAGAAAATATATGATGTGAGCAAAATTTTCTACTTGGCTCCTAGCGACTGCTTGGGTGGTTGGATCTATAAATACGTACTCTAATTCCTTGGCTAATCATCAGAGTAGTCACAGCAAACAACACTTAATTCATCGTAGTCCTACCCTAAATTTCCCCAAGAATATGGCGTCAACTCAAGCTTCTTTCCACTCAAACAGCCTACAAGAGACCGTCCGCCCGTTAGCAGCCTTTCCGGAAAACATTTGGTCTGATCGTATCGCTCCGTTTACTCCCGATAAGGAGGTTATACTTACCTTCAGCTCCTATAACCTCATGTTTTTGCTCATATAATATTTATTCCTTTTATAAGTTGGAACCATATTCTTATCCGCTCCCACAAGTTCACGATCTTTTGTAATATCCGCTACCAATTCTGGCATGATTGCTATCCCTTGATTAATTCTATAGCCTCCTATCAAGAGGGGGGAAAATACAAAAAGATTAGTTACTATTTTTCGTAGAACTAGAGGTTTGATTTATCATATTTGGTTTGCTGTTTCTTAGTCATACTTGGTTGTTCTTACCCCGACTTCATATAGGATTCATCCCCTAATTTTTTTTTACCCGTAACACTGTTGCATTTCCTTAGATTTCAGGGCCTGGTTTCTCCTGTTCAGTTTCTAATTGTTCCATTTCCCAGCAATATCAAAACGATCAATTTGACAATATGACTAAAGAAATATTTTTCTGATGCTTTCAGGAACATGAAATGTATGAAAGAGAGATTGAAATGTTGAAGGCAGAAGTGAATAGCATGCTTTTGGCAACCGGAAAGACCGTGATGGAGAGATTCGACTTTATAGACAAAATAGAACGACTTGGTGTCTCGCATCACTTTGATATCGAGATTGAAAACCAAATACAAGAATTCTTTGATGTGTATACCAACTTTGGGGAGTATTCAGCTTATGATTTATCTAGTGCAGCGCTTCAATTCCGACTTTTTAGACAGCATGGTTTCAATGTCTCTTGTGGTACGCAACTTTCATATTAGATTTGCTAATTTTTAGTGTGGACTCACCTATTAGTAAACGTTAACACCTAATTTTTCTAACATATTTCCAAATAATTTCCAAACAGGCATCTTTGACCAATTCATTGATGCTGAGGGTAAGTTCAAGGAATCCTTATGCTATGACACAAGGGGTTTGTTGAGTCTATATGAAGCTAGTCACGTTAGAACACATGGAGACGAAATTTTAGAAGAAGCTCTTGCTTTCACAACCACTCATCTGACGTCTGGAGGACCCCATTTGGATTCTACTCCTGCAAAACAAGTGAAATATGCCCTTGAGCAGCCGTTGCATAAGGGCATCCCTAGATACGAGGCCTGGCGTTACATCTCCATCTATGAGGAAGATGAATCTCACAATAAAGTATTGCTGAGGCTAGCCAAGTTGGATTACCACTTGTTGCAGATGTCATATAAAGAAGACCTTTGTGAGATAACAAGGTGCACTGAGACACTAGCTCTCCAATGGGCAGATCTAAGATTTGTTTATCAACACTAAACTGCAGAGATTTATATTTTACAGTACTATACTTACATGCAGCTTTAGGTTCGCTTGGAGCTTAGTAGGATTCTATGATATCCATAACATTTTAAATTGCCAAAAAAAAATTTTTTCCTTCATAGTCCAGGTTGTTAATATAAAAATATTATATTACTACTCCCTTTCTATCTTGAACGGTGCCCTACAAATTATTAGAATTTTGTACTAAAAGTTAGCCAATGTAACTGCCACTCGTTTGCAATTTTATCCGAAGTATTACATGAAATTCCTTCATATATGACTATGCTTCACGGATGATTGTGCAACCTTTTTTTTTTTTTAACAAATGGTAACAATGTATAGGTGGGGAAAGGAATTGGAGAGTGTATCGAAATTTCCATATGCAAGGAGCAGATTTGTGGAATGCTACTTCTGGGCTGTTGGAGCCTTGTATGAACCTCAGTACTCTCTTGCTCGAATGACTACAGCGAAAGCAGGAGCCGTTCTTACAATGATCGATGACATCTATGATGCTTATGGCAATCTTGATGAACTTCAAATTCTTACAAGCTCCGTGGAAAGGTAAGCTTTTATGTTAGTCATCTCACACAAGTGAAGCAAGCATGCTGCCAAGAATATCATCTTCGAAAAAACTACATATACCAGCCAAAATAATTGAGTAATGCGCTAAAAAGCTGTCTTACTATGAGCTAGTAAATAATAAAAGGGTGATTATCCAAACAATCTTCTCTAGCTTGACGTTGCTTCTTGGCAGTAAGGTGCATTGATATAGGAAATTTTGCTTTGCTTGCAGGTGGGATAGCAGTGGAGTCGATCAACTCTCGTACTACATCAGAACTTCCTACACCACACTTCTGAAATTTAATAAGGAACTCGGGGACGATTTAGCTAAAAGGCAAAGAACCTATGCATTCGACAAGTATATAGACGATGTACGGTACCATGTTGCTAATTTTAAGGACTGTGTTAACATACACCTTAATTTGCCTGTTAATTTTCAAATTGTCGTGGCCGCCAATACATGGAGTACTAATCAATATTTCCCTGCTTTCATTTGCCCTCATTAGTGGAAAAATTACATGAGGACAAGCTTCACTCAGTCTAGGTGGTTCTTCACAAACAAATTGCCTTCTTTTGCTGATTACCTGAGCAATGGTGCGATCACAATCGGAGCTATTCTTGTATCATCAGCAGCTCTCTTGTACATGGATTGTGCCTCAGAGGATGTTATCAACTGGCTGTCAACTAATCCAAAACTTATGGCTGCTTACTCAACACATATGCGATTGATGAATGATTTTGGAGGTCACAAGGTCAGAATTTGTTGTAGCAGTTAATTGGTTATCAAAATTATATTAAGATAACTCACAGAATTTCCAAATAGGATTAAGTTATAGTCATGTTCACGTGCCTTGTTAGTTTTGTTCAAAACTTCCAACATAATATGCACATTTTTTTTGAGCAAAATAAATCCTTTTTTCATTGATAGATCTACCAAGAGAGCTTTGCAGAAGAGGAAGCCATCCTCAATCTACATTAGACTACACTATTTCTATACACTCTACAGTCAAAATTTGAAAGAATGGACAAAAAGAACTGTTGGATATTTTAATAAAAAATATCACATATTTATTTTGAATTCAAATAAAATAAATTACAAATTCTTTAAATAAATTTTCAGTTACAAATTGAAACATTTAAATGTGTAACTTATGGGATTTATGTCTTGCTTTTGTAACTTATGTAATGATTAGGTTTTATGAAATCATTTAGTAATTTCTTTTACCGCTATACAATGAATCTAAACTTTTCAATTTGTAACTGAAATATGAGGTGTTAATTCCTATTAATGTTGGTATTTTTATATTCCTAATTTCTTAGCCTATACATAAGGCATCTATCAACCAAACCAAATAGATACTTTGCTATCTCTATACTACCTTCTATTTTTCCTCCACTACTATAAGAGTTTATAGGGCAAAGAACAGTGTTAGTATGAGGTTTCTGTCTTGCTCCAATAGTGTAGATTGGAGTAGACTATAGTGTGCAAAAGGCTGGGCTGTTGTATCCTGGAGGCGATGTGCTGAGACCTACTACACCGGAGGATACTCCGTAGGGGCGCGAATCGTCTTAAAGAGAGCGACCTAGTCCGCTCCTCAACCCATGCCAAATCAACATATTTATGGTACAAATTATTTGCATTTTTAATGCAAGATTAAGGTGTGAATTTTTGTTAATTTATTTGTTAAATTTCATTAGAGATATTATTGTGACTTATATGTTTATTTTGGTCCAGAACCAACAATTTTAAGATGAGTTAGCCTCTTGACATAAGATAAGGTTATCATTGCATGTTTTGCTTCTAAATAATCTAATCATAAAACTAACATAATCCCGACGATAAGAATCTTACATGGTCTATAACATAATCCGGACAAACTTTAATAAACAAGATATTTCATGTGAATGGTCACAATTATAGACTGAGACTAGAAAGGGTAATATCCATTGGTTTTATGTGCTTTAGAGTCTGGTATCAATATTATGTAAGCGCATATAAATAATTCGCAATATATATCTTTGAATCCAAGTTGCCTATTATTAACAGAATATCATGTATTTGTTTGTTCAAGAAAAACATGGTACTTGCATGATGTCTTTGTATATTAGTAGACCAAATATAATAATTTTTTGCCATTTTTGAGTTTTTAATATATGTTGTATGAAGCAACTATTTTCGCATGAGTTTGTCATGTTACATAGTGAACTTTCAATATCTCTTATATTAACGGATTTATTCCGATTGAAAATTTTGGCATTGACATATAAATGATTAATTTGGTGATAAAAATATATACTCCATGAAATGCATGTATAACGTGGCCAGTTATTGTCTTAAGAATAGTGGTATCAAGGTGCATAAAAAAAAACTGCAATTATGAGGGTTCAAGTTATATTTAAATACTGGGGTTTAAAATTCTCTAGTTTTGTCTTCAATTCTTATGAACTTAGTCCAGCTTGAGGTCTGCATTTTCCCAAGCAATAAACGGTATTGATAATACATGAAGAAAAGATTACATTGTCACCAAAGAAAAATTATATACATGGATAATAGCTTTAGTGGCTTGAAGTTGTGAAATATAAAGTTATTGGCCATATAATTCTCAACAATTCTATTCTCTTGACTTGTATTTTGTTAAAATTGTGAATATGAACTTTTGAGTTGAAAATGTGATATTGTACATTCTCTTTTGGATTTGTATTAAATTATTTCATGTTGTTTGGTATGTGGCTGTCTTTGCATTTAATGAAAACTGGAATACTTAATTTCCTTGCCAAGCATGACTATAGTAAGACTATGCTTGGATGGAAACGCGGACAGTGGATGTTGACTAAGCTGGTGGTTATGAATTTTGAAACTCTTGAGATTTTTCATTATAAGGCTTGCATTACTTGCAAGTTGAATTTTAAATTAAAACATAATAGTGCATTGACTATTATATTTTTTGAATTTTCTTAATCTCTAATTTGAGTTGTACAGATTAAAAAGTGAGGCATGATTTGGATAGAGTTAAATTACTTATGAAGTTTTCTTGCAAAAGAAAATTCATTGAGGATTATGACAGTGGCGGATTACTAGATTACCAACCACTGAGAAGATTACAGAAATGATGGAAATTAATGTAGCTTTGCTTGATGTGAGTAAATATATGCCCATTCTATTTTCTCAATTTATGAGTATGGCATAATAATAATTATTTTTTTTTATCTATTCTAACTTTATTTTGACTTGTGCAAACTAGCGTTCACTGAAAAGTATGACCTAATGTGAAGGTACTTGAAATATTTTTTGATATTTTTGCAAAAGCAAAAATAACCATAGAGCTTTTTGAGAATGGTTTCTAGTGCATCACTAGACTACTGGCCATAGAAAAAATTAAAAAATTACTTATGAGTAAATATACGCCTACACTATTTGGCAAAATATATGGATGAGAAATTTTCTCATCGAAGATTGGTTCCATGTATTTGGACCACTAAGAGATTATTTGAAAAAACTCGAGAATATCATATCTTTGTTATTTTATTTGTGTTGAAAAAATAAATCTCAAGCTTGAGTCAAGGATATGATACACATCGAGGGGGATAAGACAAAAGTCTAATATATGTTAAAAACCACCTATGAGGATACAATCACCTAGGGACTGGAGATCCCAAGAACTAGGTCGGAAACAAACGAATCATAGAGTGATTTGGTTGATTAATATGCACTACTTTGATTATATTGTCTATCCCTATGATGTAAGTGCATTTGTGATCCTTTGACGATAAGCGAGGTTGGGATTTTTATTCCCTTAATGAGTTCTATAGCCCTTATGGGTGGGATGTCTATGTCATAGGAGCATCCTTGATAAACTCACCTATATGAGTGTGGAAGTAGGGCCGCTTCCTATGAGAATTTGGGCTGGTTCTCTAGAGCACTCATGAAAATCGGGATAAAGCACAAGGCCATAAATGTGCTGGCTTATGAAACCTATTTGAGAACACTGAAAGATTCATGTGTGATACGATTTCACGTGCCCTCAAGTAGTCATCGTTTAAAGACTAAGTCCACTTTGACTCTAGCACGGGAATTGTTGAGCACTAAGTGAAGGTTTAAAGGCATTGTCACCTTCATTATGCATGAATTTTTAATCTTTGCCCTATTAAGTGTTAAGTTTTGAATATTATTTTTTTTATTAAAATAAGTGGGGGATTGTTGGATATTTTAATAAAAAATATCACATATTTATTTTGAATTCAAATAAAATAAATTACAAATTCTTTAAATAAATTTTCAGTTACAAATTGAAACATTTAAATGTGTAACTTATGGGATTTATGTCTTGCTTTTGTAACTTATGTAATAATTAGGTTTTATGAAATCATTTAGTAATTTTTTTTACCGTTATACAATGAATCTAGACTTTTCCATTTGTAACTGAAATATGAGGTGTTAATTCCTATTAATGTTGGTATTTTTATATTCCTAATTTCTTAGCCTATATATAAGGCATCTATCAACCAAACCAAATAGATACTTTGCTATCTCTATACTACCTTCTATTTTTCCTCCACTACTATAAGAGTTTATAGGGCAAAGAACAGTGTTAGTGTGAGATTTCTGTCTTGCTCCAATAGTGTAGATTGGAGTAGACTACAGTGTGCAAAAAGCTGGGCTGTTGTATCCTGGAGGCGACGTACTGAGACCTACTACACCGGAGGATACTCCGTAGGGGCGCGAATCGTCTTAAAGAGAGCGACTTAGTCCGCGTCTCAACCCATGCCAAATCAACATATTTATGGTACAAATTATTTGCATTTTTAATGCAAGATTAAGGTATGAATTTTTGTTAATTTGTTTGTTAAATTTTATTAGAGAAATTATTGTGACTTATATGTTTATTTTGGTCCAGAACCAACAAGAACAATAACAATCAACTTTGATCCAATTCCCACTCAAGAACCAACTCCCAATTCTCTTTGATGCGAACAATCTTGTTCCAAGATGTAACAGCCATCTGCATTGCATAGACCACAGTAGCCATTACACCCCATGGAAAGTAGACAGTCATAGAGAAAGCCAGCCTCTTGAATTTTTAAGCAAATGATTGAGTCCTACAATTCTTACACCAACATTGCAACTCCTCATTCCAAGTCTTACGCCACCACTGCGACACCACAGAACATGCACATAGATTAAACTTGTTTTTAGATCTTGTTCATTTTCTGTGCAAACGCTGCATAGACTATGCATATGCATTCAGTCTGGGATGCTTCTCATGAACAAAATGAAATACAATTTAGTTCACTTGGCGAGTTACTGCTTTACCAATGATTAATACCCTTTCATACTTTATGTGAGTAATTCGGCATTAAACAAAACTTTTTCGCTGCATTTTATTAGAGTTTTCATGTTTTCTGTTTGAACTCCTCGAATTTGAAGTTCGACAAAGAAAGGGGCAGTGGCACAGCGCTTGAATGCTACATGAAGGACTATAATGTATCAGAGGAAGAGGCAGCCAGAAAGTTTCGAGAGATGTGGGAGGATACTTGGAAGGTTATGAACGAGGAATGCTTGAGGCCTACTCCCATTCCAAGGGATGTTCTCAAAATGCTTCTCAACATCACAAGAGTAAGTGAAACCATTTACAAGCACCGAATAGATGGATTCACTCAACCGCATGCCATTGAAGACCATATAAGGGCAATGCTTGTGGATTTCATGTCTATTTGAGGATGGCAGTGGTGCATGTTGATGCCTTCAAGGGATTGGCCCTATGAATGCAGGCAGTATCAGTTAGCGAAGTATGTTTTTCTATTTTGCCCACTCCTGTATTTAAGTATAACTAGTTTGGGATTACATGCATTGCACGTTCTGTATCTCCTTTTTTCCCCTTTTTGAAACTTTTAATAACGTGTTTGTTTTAACAAATTACTAAGTTGAATAAAAGATCATTCTGTCTTTTTATATGTTTCTGCACACACATATATATATTGATAGTATCACTAATTAACTAATCATATTTTCAATACTGTAGTGATACAAATTTGATATTATAAATGATTGCCTTTAAATTTATTGTCTTAGATTAGATATTAATTGCTAGCAAAAAATAGTGAACTTTAACATATTTTGGCATCTTTAGTATCGTTGTGTATTTGATTCATTCAATTGGGATGAAGAGTTTAAACTTAGAGTGAATTTATTGATTAAATTTGGTAAACCCTCGGAACTTAACAGCTTAGTTGCAATTTTCTATTCTCAACTTTAAAATTTTGCCATCCTTAATTCTACGAAATAACTTATGTACTTATAAATAACTTGTGTATTTTGCAATTATGTTTCGTGATTACAATTAGGTAAACATTCATCATATAAGTTTAAAGATTAGCTGTTAAATTTTTTCAATATTCAAAGTATAAAAGATTTATTGTATACTGCACAAATATTAGAAGGCTAATCATCTGTTATATACTTAGAAACATCTGAATAATAGAACTACCAAGCTCAAGTTCGGGAAGAGATAATATTTGGAAGAAAATCTGGTCTCTTAAAATTCCCAACAAGACTAAGCATCTTCCATGGCGTATATGTCATAATTCCTTGCCTACGCCTAAAATCCTCCATAATAGAAGATTTCTGCTGATTACAAATGTGCTCTTTGCAAATATCCATGCAGAGATCTATCTCATCTTCTATTTGACTGCCCTATCTCGGTGCAAATATTGGGCTCGTACTTTTCTGGATAGGCAAATTAATGCATGTCTCCAATCTGGACCTGACATTTGGGTGATGGAAATTCTTAGATCTTTGCCATCAAAGGATAGCGAACTTTTTGGTACTCTATTATGAAATATGGAGTAACAGAAATAATGAACTGTTTAATGGTAAAGTTCGAGAACCTTTGACCATTGTTAGTTTTGCTCTCCAGCACCAGGCAGCTTTCAAAGAAGCAAACGCTTGCTCTTTGTTAGCCCTTTCTCAAAGTTCATCCCTACCCTGGTCAATGCGTCCTGCTCCCCACTATAAGGTCAATTTTGACACTTCCATTTCTACTATTAAGCAAGGTTTTGGTATTGGTGTGGTCATCCGTAGTTATGATGGTCAGTTTATCGTTGAAGAGCAAATCGTGTAATATATCACCAAACAATACACTTGTACTTGTTCAAGTCACTAATTTAATGTGTTAGCTAAAAATGTCACTAAACTAACCAAAATACATGCTTTGTAGCATCCCGTGTAATTAAATCGTTAAGACAAACGGAATTCTTTCATCTCCACTTGTGGGCTTGATTTTGGAGGGATATAGTTGTTGGTTCATCTCTTTGGCTAACTTTTGTCTATGTAAATACTTGGATAGACCCAATCTACAGCTCCACCTGTAGACCAAGTGACCCAAAATTTGCCACATCATCAATGCAAATTTAATACCTAGAAACCAAAAATTTTTCTGTCTCTCTACTCACCATCTTGATCCACAACACCACCGACTAAATCAAGAAGTTCTTCTCTCAAAGCTTTTGGTGTCCCTCCTATGTCTTACATTCTTGTCTTTATAATATCAACCAATTTTGCATTGTATCAGGCTTACATATGTAGAGCTAAGCCATTCAAAGTTGGAATTCATTCTTAAAATCATATGAGAAAGGAGATAGAAAGAAAAAAAAGTATAAAAAAAGAACTCACTGTAGAAAATTTTGGGAGAAGAGAGGAAGAAAATCCATCAATCACATCTTTCATTTGATTTCTAGATCTACTTAGAAAATTATAAGTCTTGCATTTTTGGAGGACATGAAAAACTATAAAGTAAGTGATGTGACTCTTACGATGGAGAAGAAGAGGCTAAAACAACTAGAGACGTAGGCTTTATCCCAAATAGAGAGGAAGGGGGAGGAGAATCTTCTAATGGAGGGGGCGAGAAGTTCATGGGTTACTGGCATGGTAGGAGGTACCGAGTGGAAGGAACGGAGCGGTGAAGATAGGTGGAAGGGGGAAGGTAAAACATAGTGTTTATAATACTGGTGGTGATAATTGGGGTATTAAGCAGAGCAGTAGAGGTGGAGTGGAAAGCTTGAGGATCCAGCAGTTGTAGATAAATTTTAGGAGAAGAAGAGTGAATAGCCAAGAACTTTAGCTATTGTGGCACTACCATTGTGGCTTCTTTAGATTACTCAAAGTTTTTAGATCATTTTGCCCTTCAAACCCTACGCCTACAGATCCCGTGATGTCCGTTCCGATTGTCTTCATGGTGAAATTATGCTGAATGCTACAAAACATGCAATTTGATTAGTTCAGTAACATTTTTGGCTAACAAAGTAATTTAATGACCTGAACAAGTACTAGTGTATAGTTTATTGATATTTTTCGCAATCTGCTCTAAAAAGAATGGAAGGTCTAGTCAGTGTTGAACTTGCTGAAGTGAGGGAAGCGACTCTATTTGCTAAGATGCTGATGATTCCTACTCTAATATTGGTGGGAGATGCATCCTCAATTATATAGTTGATTAATAGCACGGAAGAGATCTTCTCGGACAGTGACTCAATAATTAAGGACATTCACGCTTCCTTGTTAGATCAAAGCAAAGAAACATCGGAATAGATATATTTATGGTGTTTAATCTTATTTCAAGCAAGTGCACATTTTGTATGGGATACTTCTTTGAATATGACACAGAAAAAATCCTTTACAGGACATGTTATAAACATTGCAAGAACTAGAGAAGAGATATTGAGTAATTTTCATAAACTACAAGAGGGTTAATTGATATTTAACCAAAATAAACAAAATGCATTCCCATAAGGCTCAGAAGGCACATTTTCAATAAGAAATAGCGGGATCAAAAAATGCATATTCAAGGCAAGAAACTTGCTGAATTCAAAAGTTTAGACGTTTCTCAATATCATTTGTCAAGTGAACTATTGGTAAATACTATTACTATTTCAAATATTTGCAGCCTACTACACGCTATACCAAAGTATATATTTTTTAAGCTTTTTGTATCATATACATTATGGTAAATAATTGACGTACTAATTTGTAGGACTAGTGCATGGTGGTATTCTTTCAATCTTTGTAGTATTTTTGACATAGCACCGGCCAATAGACTTGTGTGAATTTTCAAACGTCATAATTAGCGTTGCTGACAATTAATCTCTGTTTTTAAACTCGAACTAGACCAGCTGAATCAAGAACCGTCCAATTGTCCGGTCCGAATTAACTCTAAAAATCGAAAATTTTAAAACTCGGTCAAATCAGGTCAAAAATTAGATTTGACCAAATTTGACCCGATTTGACCGAAAAAATAAGAACCCGGTGTAGAGGACCTGCCAAATCCAAAGCCGTTGACCATGTGCCACATTTCCAACCAATACACTCGGGTCCCACCATCCACCACTGCGCGGTCCATCCCACCAACAAGAATTAATCAAGAGACTCTTTTTTTTTTTACTTTTTTTGAAAGGCAAAATATTTTTAAAATTATGTTTTGACTCCTAGGTTGTTAAAAATTATTAATATACCTCAAATATTTCATACTTTATAATTGTTGTTTTAAAGTTTGGTGTTATTTTTCAATTAAGTTCATAATTTTAATTCTAAACTTGTTAATACTTATTAAATAATATAAATTGCTACTTGATTGTTCTAATTTCTGTGTATTTTCTTGTCAAATATATTTGAAACATCAAATATATATATGAATTTACCTTTATTAATATTAACATGTTATTAGGTATTTTAGATATAATATTTTAAGTTTTAAATAATTTTTATTTATGATGCCATCCGGTTCAACCCCGATCGAACTCGGTTGAACCCATTGACCCATGAGCTCGACCGAATCGATACCCGGTCTGGTTTTGAAAACATAGCAATTAATTAGAGAAAACTAAGATTGACGGAGACTCTGATAAGTTACTATGTGATACAGATGTCTCCCGATTCCTTTTGTCTTAATTTGTAAGTCTGTTTCTCAAATTGAGAGAAAAGAGCAGGCGCGTACGTCGGCCATGACTATTCTATTCCGGATGCTTGTAACTATAGTGTAAACACTTTCAAAACTCGTACTTAATGGACACTGGGATGTGAGCACCAAATAAAACTAATATATTCATCTAAATTTTTTTTATGAAAATTGATTTTATATTTAAGCAATAAATCTAGAGTTAGTCTTATGTACAGTGAAACTATATACACTATTACAATTGAATACATGATACATAAGCAAAATTTAGATTTTAAATTTAAATTCAAATGAATTGTTATGTGTCCAATGATAACGATATGTATGGTGTCAAGTATAGAAAATTAATTTATAAATCTAATATAACATGTTGGCGTAAATAGGTAATTATTTAGAACTTGTTTTAAGTTATTTAATAGACTATATGATTGTGTACAGATGGTAGAAAATGAAGATTGAATAATGGGAGAAGTTTAATGATGTATAACTATGAATTGAGTGGTAGTTTCGTTAGTATGCAGTTGAAGATGGCGGCATTCAGTTTTAGAAGGAGATTTTTTTTCTCTTTTTACTAACTTTGTTTTTGATAAGTTGGAACCACTCTAATTTTATAATTAAGGGTCCAATAGAAAGTTTAAAAAGTGACAACCGTATGTTAATATCATGGTTCTCACACCTTGTACGTTATATATATCCTTATACTATATAGGAATAAGTTTGGGTCAAAGAATGGCTTTAAATTTCAATCGCAAGAGTAGGGGTATTTTGGGATTGTGAGATTGTTTTGAGTGTAGTTATAGCATTGGGTACTACTTTAGATAGCATGTGTATTATTGTGTTTACTGAAATGTCCTTGTATTTTAAAAGATGCAGTGATGATTTGTTCAAAGATTTGGGTAGTTTGGGAATGTTTGATTATTTGGTCATCTTTTCTACAACAGGTACAACTCATAATAGCTTCTTTATTGGTGCCATTACTTAAATATCCTTGTAGAGACATTCATTTTGATTTGTATCAATTATTACTGTTGTTTTACTATTATAACTTGAAGAACTTCAAACGTCACTTCATCTCAATTAACGTAAGGACAACGTGGTTTATTAAGGAATTTATGACTGAGCATTAGTTTCAGATTCAATTCTTCAAATGTCTGCCCCTTCACATTCTTCCGTTATGTTCCTTTCGTCTTCTGGTAAATACTTATTTGTATTGCCATTGTATTCTAGATTTCAGTATGATTCTTTGGTGAAGCTATTTTTGGTGGTTCAACTTAAGGTGAGATTTCATTCTTTTTTTTTTTAATGGTATGATTTGCTTTGCAAAATCACAGTCTCTATTGTCAGCTAAATGTTTCCATTCCAAAATTGGATACTCTGTTAGCGCAATTTAATGTTAATATTATTGTTTCCCCACAAAGTTGGTTGCTCTATACAATTTAAATGGTATGATTTGGTTGGAATAGGTTTGGAGATACAAAACTTACTCTTCTGATCTACTTACATGGTGGAGGCTTTTTGATCAAATCTGTCTTCTCTCCTACATATCACGCGCACCTTAATGCAATAGTTGTAGAAGCTGGTGTTGTAGCAGTTTCAATTAACTATCGGCTCACCCCTAAGCACCCTCTGCCTATTGCTTATGAAGATTCTTAGATTGTAGTCAAATGGGTTGCCTCTCATTCGAATGGCGAGGGTCTTGAGGTATGGCTTATGGATTATGCTGGCTTTGATAGGGTGTCTTTTGGTGGGGATAGTGCTAGTGGCAACTTAGCACATAACATGGCGTCGAGGGTTTGGCTGGAGATACTAGACGGCTTCAATCTTGATGCAATTTTTCTCAATTGTCCTTTTGTTTGGGGGAAAGATCTAATCAGTATTGAGCTAACGAAATTACAGGCAAAGGCCTATGTTGAGGGCATCTGGCATTATGTTCACCCAAAATCTACGAGGGTTGATGATCTATTGTTGAATCCTCTGATAGAACCAAACCTTTTGAAGCTAGGCTGCAAAAGGGTGTTGATGTGATACACCGAATTTTAGGATATTGTTTTCAAAGAGGATATTAAGGTTTATTTATTTTGTTTTGTTCTAAAACCTTGTTTTGTTTTAAAAGACTAGAAACCTTAAATTTTAATAAAAAAAAACCCTAGTTTTACTTGTGACAAAAACATTGTTGTTTAATTGAGTTTATGTATGACAATGCATGCTTTATGATAAGTAATTTTAATAGGTGGGTGGTTAGTAGGCTCGTGAGGGGTAATTAAGTTTGACGGATTGTTTGATTACATTAAGTTGATGATCTATGGAGTTGTAAAATCTCTCATTTTTTTCTTACAAATTTCCTTTTAGTTGGAATCCATTGTGTTGGGATAGTTTTACTACGCATTCACTCCCTCAATAGTTATAATGAATAAGAGATTTAAGAGTTTTACCCTTAGTTTTATAGTTCGGGTAAATTAGGATTTTTTACGTATTTTGGCCGTGTGATCACTTGATGAGGTGTGTGTACTAGATTTGGTGGTTAAAAGTGAGTTTTATATAAGAAAAAGTGTGTGAATAGAAGTGATAATAATAAATGAGTGAATCATTAGTTAAAATCCTAGTACGTGCGAAATAAGCAAAAACGGGTTGAACTGACGTGTATTATTTGTTACCGATTGAGTACACCATTTGAACACCATTTTATTACCTTAATATCCTTGTTATTATTGCAGAAATATCAGCCCTTAATTATCCTAGAGAGGGCCGAAATTATTGACCAAAAAGAAAGGAAAAAGAAGAAAATTTGAAGACTTAATCTTGGAGTGACAAGTGGTAACCATCCAAGGGTTGTTTGACCAACCAATTTTCTTCATTTTTATCACCAAATTCACTTCTTTTCCTCTTCATTTCTGCACATTCCAGCCGAGCTTCAAGAGAGAAAAACACAAGAGAGAAACTAGCAACCTTCACCTTGAATCCATCCTTAATTGAGTGCAAGCAACCGAACTAAACCGATTAACCTCCCCTTTTGGTGCTTGGAAGCCTTGGGGTGCTGCAAATTTGGGAAGACAGTGGTGTGTTTCTCACTTACAAGGGACCTTTGGAAGGTATTATGGCTGCCTATCCTTTTCCTCTTCCTTAATCTTGTTTAAGTTTGGATAGAAACTCATATTCTTGGCTTATGACGATTAATTAGTGAGTTTTGCATGATATGGTGGAATATTTAGTTAGGGTTTGATATTTTCAGTTGTGATTCTTGTTTTTTATCTAGTATATGATGTTAGTAAGCTTGGATAGAGACTTGGGGTATTGATTTGAGACATAAATGTGATTTTCAAGCATTGAATCATCAAATTTTCAACCTTAAGGATGAATTAGCCCTGTTTATGACCTGTTTAATTCGTCCATGTTAGAGGCCGAATCAGGCCTAGATCAAAATATAAAAGTTGTAGGTAATGGAGTTATATAGTTGTCTGTAAAATTTTAGCTCAATCGGAGCTCTATAGTGTATGAAATGACTAAAATACCCCTGACTGCCAAATGCCCTATTTCGCAGGCAGTTTTGAGATTTCACATTTTTGGCTTCATTTTTCACTTTGATCCGTATCAAATCATCTTTTGGTCAAAACATTAAAATTTTAGTTCTATGTTTCAGCTTTCCAATGCATCTGAAAACACCTCAATCGGACTTTTGTAGCCTAAGTTATTGCCATTTGAATCCAGTGCTGACAACCAGACTGACAATGAAATTCTGGTTCTGTAATCTGCAAATTCGACCTAGATCAACTATGAACTGGGTTGAATTGTCTTCATGAAAGCTGTAACCCTTTGTCTTAGCTTCGAAATGTTACCTAGTACACCTTAATCCAATAACCACAGCTCTATTTATGGTCAAAACCATACAATCCGTTTTCATACCGTTTTCTGTTGCACGCACCATTTTAATTTCCCCTCGCGCGCGCATGCATTTCTTGGCCGTTTTTGCTGTTTTGGCCGTTTTAGGCCTTATTTCCATTATGATGGTTGTTTGACTAATAGTTAAGTATAATCTTTTATCACAAGTAGTGACGACCTGGACGGAGTCGGTGGACCCGTGTAAATTGCCTTGATTTGCGTGCTAGTTATTTTGGGTGAGTAATTGGGTTTGTTTATGTGATAAATTGTCAAAGTGCATTGTATATGTTAAATGAGTACTTAGACGAGGGTGTACTTTATCTCACTCAACCTAAACTCATTCTTTGCTCTTGATTTCATATTGGAGAATACATGCCTTGTGGTGAGTATCACCCCTTGAGCTGTGTGCTGTTGGGGTGATTGACTTGAGTATTTTGATGAGAACTTTGTTGAGAGGTATCCTTTGTTGAGAGATTGAATATCTCAGGGCTTGGTTTCAACCCGGTTCCAAGGGTAGACGGACTATTCAAGCCGGCCGGGGCTTGGTTGAAGTTAGTTCTATGCTAACCTTGGGATTTCGTTCTTTGTTAAAGCAAAGTGATTTTGTTTTGCTCGAGCTGCTGTGTGCTGTTGACTGGCCAGCGGGGTTGATAAGGTGAACGGGGAAGTAAGTGGAGTCTACGGATTATGAGTATTTTGGTTGACGGAGTGTCAACAGGTGGTCAAGCAGGGAATTGAACTGGCTTTGAAGCCACTTGTATCCTACCATTGTGATGTTACATTTCTGTTTATTGATGTGAAATGTCTTGGTTTACATGTCTATTTAGCTGTGATTTTACATTTTTACCCCGATTATTCACTAAGCATATAACTTACCCCATTCCATTTGTTTTTCTTAGCAGGGACCGACGCGGGGATCGTTTGGGAAGGTGTATAGACTTTTGGTTTATAGAATAGTTGATTTTGCCCTAGTGCTTGTTATAAGTTGACTAATAAGATGTATATATTTGTTGTGGCGGTTATAGTTAGTAGCTTCTCTAGGGTTTACTTTCTAATACTAGTGGTGTGTATGGCCTGATGTAATAACTTATACAACTTTTGAAGATGCAATAGTGTAAATAGAACTTTCTTTTAGCGTGACATCTATTTTTTCGTTTTTGGTATAGAGTCCTGACACGAGCTAGGCAGACGATCCGCTAAACCCTTTGGTATGCCTCTGGGTACGGTGGGGTCATCACAGCTGATTTATCACTAGCTTCAAAAGGATGTTGATTTATCATTTATGTTGTTGAAAATGGTATTCTGAAAGATAGGGGGTGGCTTTATAAAGAGGCTTTAGAGAAGAGTGAGTAGGGTGGAGATGTGGAGGTCCTGAAGGTTATAGGGGAAGATCATGTCTTCAATTTGTTTTTTTTTTTTTCCAAAGGAGAGAATGCTTTGTCGTTGCTAAAAAAGTTGGCTATTTTCATCAACAAGAATATTGTGTAGATGCATCTTTAAGTTGATAATCACTTTGTTTATTATCATTCTCTGAATCGTTTGTATATCTATTTAAAGTTCATTTAATCTTGTTTATAAAAAAACTCATATATAAGTGTTTGTTTCAAAATATATGAACTGAGCAAGATAGCATGCATAATTTCCTTCTCCATCTCCCAGTATACATTAGATATTTGTTACTTTATATTATTATTCAATATGCGTGAGTGTTTTTATATTCGCTTGAACTACCATAAAATCCTCTTTAATCACAGGCACCAAACACCCGCGCGATGCGCGGACATTCCCCTCCTAATATATATATAAACATCATAAGACATTTTATAATATCAACAGTAATGGTTGAAGATACAACCAAAAAACTAACAAAGACTACACTTGGAATTCCAAAATCTAGTCTAAATTCAAATAAAAATACCTACAAATCAATGAACATATCTGCGCATATTTTTAATTGTCAAATTAACTAGTTAATTGCTTCAAGCTCCAATATCAAGTTGAGATTTGATAACAAAAATTCAAGAAGTTCTAAATCTAACAAACATATTTGAAAGAACTCAGATCTATCAAAGGAAAGACCAAAGAAGGACTAAAAATGTCCTATTAAAATACCCTTAAAAAGAAGAAAACTCTGATCAAAAGATTTTAGGAAAGGTGAAACTCTCACAATGTCAAAGCATAAAAAGTCATAGTAATTAACCAATTCTTTATAGAATTAACTCTAATTATCAATATACTTGTTTGATCCGTATACTGCAAAAAAGAGATAATTGGACTTAATTTAATTGTTAATCGGGAATCGATAACCTGAAAGTCTAGACTGCGTGACATGAGAATGAATTAGTGGTCAATTAAAATTTCTGGGACTGCACCATTGTGAATAAGGAAGATGGTGCAACTTAGATCATTAGCTCGGCCGTTAATTGATTCTGAATTTGGGGAATGGGGATGGATTAAATATATTCTTATAGAATGATTCTGAGCATCCTATTGGTGTACTGATATGGAGGTGTTTTCCCAATCAAGTTGGCGTTTGCTAATTCGAAAATAGTCAAGGGTGAAGATTGGCCTACTCAAGAATAAGGGTGGCAATTCAGCGAGTTGGGTTAAATTTAGGCGAGTTGTTTATGAGTTTGATATAATTGGGTTGTAACACAATCCGTCCAACTCCAACATTTCAACTGGTCAATTTTCGATTTGGGCCAATGTGGATTTACTCAAACACAGCATTCGCTAATGACAAACCAGCTGTCTTTTAAAATTTTTTGCCCTTTTTCCTTACTAATTATTCGATCTTCTTTCCCAGCATAAAGAACCAATTTGACACTTTGCAACAAGCCGTCGGCTTCTCCGCCAATTATAGTCCACCGTCTCTGGTGACCGATTGGTGACTTTTTTCTGTGTGGATCTATCATGCATTCTTAATAATAAACCAAAATCCACCATAGGCATAACAGCGACTAGCTATAGCACCACCACTTACTCCATTTAGCTTGTTTTTGTATTTCGAGTCCGTTTGGTTAGACTGAAAATATTTTCTATCAAAGTCATTTTTCTGGAAAATCACTTCTTTCCCTATAATTTTTCAGTATTTGGTTATTAAGTGAAAATATTTTTCAAATTCCTTTTTTCATAATTTTTCGGTATTT